GTTTCAACACAGCATTTTATTTGATTCACAAAAAGTTGTTGTTTTACCATTTTGTGGACATTGAGAGCCTGAGTATTTTGGATATTTTTTTTTTATTATTATTTACTGATTATTTCTTGAGCCCCCTATTCTGAAAACAGACCCCATCCTAGACATAATATTGAACCAATGTATTTTACACGCATTGTATACGTCGCCATGAGTCCCATATCGAACAGAACGCGGCACGACGACTGCCGCCCTTTAAATGACCCCCCCCCCCCCGGATATTACTTCCACAACAATTCCAACCAAAAGCACAATAATTAAAATATGAGTATCTGAGCATAAACACTAGTCATGATACAGATCTCGGCACGTGCCGAGCCATGCCGACACGTGCCGAAACGTGTATGTAAACGGTCGGAACCAAGTACCGAAATAAAAATCGATCTAGGCCCAATAGAGTCGGGAGCGTAACTCGTCACATGCTGCCCCAGACTTGCTGCCTAAAAACTCGGTACGAGCCGAAATCACGCCCTCGGCGGTGAACAACATTTACTGATTCATACTACACACGTACTAGTATTATAACATGGCGGTAACCCGGGGGGGGGGGGGGGGTACATGGAACTTGCCTAATGGGGGCGTGCCCCTGAAATGGGTCTCGTTTTTTTGATTTTAGGTATAAGTATCGGTCTTATTTCTGGTCAAGATAGGTATAAAGAATATCGGTAATATTTTTCCGATTTGGTCGTATTATTTTCCGATTTGTTCAACCCCCAGTTTCTGATAGTAGCGGACCCCTAAGGAAATCAAAGAGAAAGCGAACTGTTGTTTCTCATTTAACAACCTTAAAAACCTGAACCATGTGTTAATAATATGCTTTTATGTAAGTGACAGAGGTGTTTCAACAGTCAAAATACATATTTTAATAAATCAATATACAATGCAACTGTTGGCTTACATTTTGCTTCTAACGGTATCTGTTTTATTCGGAATAAACATTGATGATGACAGAAAAGGGACCTTGGGTATAAATATGGGTATATATTTTAGTACTATCCAGGTATAAAAATGGTCGCACTTTTGACACTCGGGAGGACCTCCCTGCCCAGCTATGTATCCACTGCCCACCCCCACCCCCCAAGAGGGAGGGGGTAAACGGAAGTGCGGCTAGATATGGCCGGATGCTATTGCAGAACATTGTGGCTGACGCATTGTATTTATGTAGTGCTCAACTGGCTTCATTTTGCAAAACTAGAGGGGGGGGCAAGGGTTATTTTCGTTCAACGTAATTGCAATATTTTTTTGTTCGTACAATGTGAATTTAAAAAATAGACGTACAACGTAATCAGTCAAATATTTTTTTTCGTTCACTGTAAAAATGTGTCATTTTTCTCGGTACATACAAGAATTTACACCCAAATTAAAAAAGTCATAAAGAATAATCCAGGGAAATTACATTTTCGAAACTGTAAAACGACTAGATGACACAATTCACTGCAAAATTCAATTTTCACTGTAAACTGTAAAAACGTCTTCTTTTTTTTTTCTCGTAAATTGTAAAAAGCCCTTTTTATTTCCCGTAAAACCGTACCAGCTACCCCCCTTGCCTCCCCCTCAAACTACGTCGACGTCGACGTATAAAACTAACGTGAACGCCACTGCTGTACTCGCTATCCGTCCATAAACGATAAATAATTTCGGCACGTGCCGAGATCCCGTGAACGTGAACGCCGTATATATTCACCCCTAGTAACCTGATACATTTTTCGGAAACAAATTGATAGTATTGTGAAAGATTAATTGTAGTGTTATTAAACATTCACGTCAGAGGTACTAAGTTCGGGGAATTCTCCATCTTTCTATCGAAAGACACACAGAGAATCGAATCGTTTCACATTTGGTCTCAGCCGCGTTGTTTCTCTCGCATGGCCGCCTCAAGACTGGCCCTCGTCGAGAGCTTGCCACAACTAACTGAGATCGATTTTATTCACATTCCAACTGTTAACCAATTACAGAGAAGTTAAAAAACTCTAAGGCGTCGCATTCACACATACAGCCAATCACGCAAAGTATTCAACACGCCATAATAATTAATTGCCCCCTGATGCTGAGACATAACTCTCATACTTATAGGCGTCTTGTTGACTTAACCAACTTCCATAGTCGACCATTATATCAGCCAGTTGTTCCAATCACTAATTCCCTTACATACGAATGAACCTGATCATGACAAGTTACAAGCAGGTGTGGATTATCCAGGGGTCACCATTGGAAGCCGCTATTACCGCTAAAAGCGGCCTCACCGAAATACATGAAAATATAAATCATGATAATATTACCTCCAATGTCAAAATTTATGCCACTATATGAATATTTCAATACGATAGCTTGAAATTTAATAGGGTTTGCTTGCACGCCATTTTCACGAATTAAACCACCTTCTAGTGTGATCGGGGTTTCTACGGAGTTTGAGGAAATCAGCCATCATAGATTAGCTTCGCCAATTGGTAGACTAGAGGTATGTACTGGAATAGTTACCGGGCAGTAAGGGTATACACATTGGAGAGATACGAATAGTCCAGTATGCAACGCTTAGTAGATTTATAATATACAGTAGATCCGACCCACAATTGACATAATACTGTTTGTTAGTCCACAGGCGAACGAGATTTGTATTATTTCTGTTTTTGTTTTACAACCATAAAATTACTCTCTGTAGTAGATTTTCGTGTTGAATAAAATTATTATTATTATTATTATTATTATTATTATTATTATTATTATTACTATTACTATTACTATTATTATTATTATTAAATCCGAATCCCCACTCAGTATCCAAGAGTAGTCTGAAGTCGTCCCTCGTAAACATTAGCTTTTGTCATGGATCGGTCATTATTCAAACTCATTGTTAGTTTAGTGGATATTTCGATTGAACAGTCACAATAGTTGTTCCTACTTAGAAGATGGTAGACCTCAACAAACAATGGAAAACGACAAGCATAATGTTGTCAGTAGGGAAAGTGTGCACGTTAAAGCGCGGTAGTCGTCGCGCCACGCATGCGCGAGATGTATGGGTCTCATATAAACAAAGATGGCGACTTTGACTGTTGCGCAGATCAACGAGTACAAACTGAGACGTTTCCAAGCTTTAATTAGGTCATTTTTAGGGGATTGGACGGTATCGAAGGAGTCGCCGGTGGTATAAGTGCAAGTCGCGCCCAGGTCAAACCTCATATTTGTGATTTCCAGTTGAAGAGCGCATTGGATTTTGGGAAAATCATTGTTTAGGCCAGACTTTTATTATCCCTTGTTTCGCGAACCCGCCGAAGGAACAGGAGCCAAAAATGAAATAAAAATATAATTTTATTTCAGCGTAATTTCTCGCGCCCGCCGACTTGTAAGCGCGAAAAAATGCTAAAAAAATATTATTTTTATCTTCATTTTTTTACCGCCCGCCGCATAAAAAATCAAAGTTGCATTTTGCGTGGGAGTATCATAATCAAAGTACCGAAGTCTCGCGCAGATGAGAAACAAGGTTATACATGGAATAACATTTTATTTAATTTCTTCTCTCCGATCAATGATCTCACTTACAATTCTTTGAGAATCACACAAATGTAATAGAAAAAAAAAATAATTATATTTTTTTCCACCCTCCTCAAAAAAATTGCCTTATGAAAACTTGCGAAACAAGGAATAAAAAAAGTCTGGCCTTATCTACACAAATGTCGCACATGCGCAGCGCGACGACCGCCGCGCTTTAAGTTCCAAATATAAAACACGTACATTTTCAGGTTTACACAAGCTGTGATTGACTCGGACCCTGTGCCGATACAGTACTATCGTCGGCATAATTATATCATGAAGGTAATTTCTTATTACCTCCGTGATTATATAAATACACCTTACTTATTGCATGGAGGTAAAAAAGATGCTTATTGTAAAATCACAGTCCTTCTATAGAGAGGGCTGTGGTAAATAAAAATAGAGGTCGTTTAAAGATACTTTGAACAAAGCCGGCACAAAGAACCGCACGGACCCTCGAGGGACCCCTTTCAATAAGTCTAACCATTCACTGACACAGACAGAAGGTGCTTTACAGGACTTTAAATAGGACCACAAAAGACCGCAGCCATTCCTAGACACAGCATGAGCCCGTAGCTTAGCAACGACTAAACTATGCGATAGACAGTCAAACGTTTTACTAAAGTCCATCGAGACAGGACCTGAATGATTCTTTGTTCTACTAGTTTCTTCGTTCTACGAGGCGATTTTTCAGTCTTATATAAGACGTAGAAGAATACGTTACACATGTATCCCCTCTCATTAGCTGATAGTCTTCGATCTAATATGTGGTTGAGGAAAGGCAATAATTGTGCATAATTTTCTCCAGAAGCTTTGACATTGATGGTAATATACTGAGACGCCTATCCTCGGGAGCGGAGCTACGTCACAGACGTTCTACGTTGCTAAGACGCGCACCACTGTACCATGCATTTCCATGGGCTCTGTGCGCGCTGCTGTGGAACGCCGGTGGAGCCGGTGAAAACTCGAGAAAACAACACAAACTCAACTTTGAAGTAATCCCGAACAACCAAATTCATATATGTTACACACGTAGGGCTAATCTTGTTACACTGTTCAGGGGACTCTCAACAACCATCGCAAAGTACCGTTTTCTGCGAGTTTTTGGTCTTTGTTTTCACCGCGAGGGTTGCCAGGCGGTAGAAAATGCCCGGATGTCCGCCCCCCCCCCCGAGGATAATGTTTCATGAGTAAAACATCATCATCTTTTTATACAATTTTGTGGAAAAAACAAAAACAATTGGACAATTTTATCTCCATTCTTATGTTCATATGATGCAGTGTGTTTTATTTATTAATTTATTTCCTAGATATTTTATATGAACAGTGTTCGCTCGGTATTCTATATCCCTTTAACAAATGAACCCAAACTTTCTTTTTTATAATACCCAGAAGTCCGTGCGATGTCTCAGTGGTTTGATATCAGACGGCATATCTCAACATGGCGGTCGAGTTACTGAAAGTAGACTACCGAACAGCCCTCAGCTCTAAGCCCAATATCTCCACGTCATCAAACATCTATATGACGGGAGATGGTCATCTATTCTGTGAAAACCTTTGTGTCAAAGAAATCCAGTACGAACTGGCGATGAAGACGGATTATGCGAGTCCGTTTTACTTGTACAGTAGAGCGCAGATCGTCGACAATGTCCAGCAGTACAAGCGGTCCCTGGAAAAAAACGACGTTCCACATTTGCTAGGTAAGTGACTCAGAAACCCACTGCCAAACGACGTGGGTTACTGTATTTTGTTATTTCGAGTGTTTGTTTTTCACTTCAGACTACCGGAAAGTTAAATATTGATATAACGTTCCAGCTTGACCTGTCGGGCAATGACCCTCCTTGCCTTTGTTAGATGACCTCCATCTGGGGGCGTAATAATTGCAATACCATTTATTTTCACTGGCATTAACGGTAAATTCACTATCTTGATGCATTTTCACTGGGTTTTAAGTTCACGAACTTGGCAAGGATAACAATGAATTATAGCGTTATTTGACATTTTCATGTGGATTTAATTTAGTGAATGTACTTGTCAACGAAAATAGCGAAAATAAAACCATCTGAATAGTTGTAGCCCTGCGTACAGTGTTGT